GTCTTCTACTTGATATTTCCCAATTACTTTTAATTAAGAAATTGCAATTTTGAATTCTTTAAATAAAATTTTTCATGTGTCTATAAACATAGACGTCGCATGGTTGTATAAGCGAGGTACACTTGGGTGGAATTATTTTAATAGTATAAGAACATTCTCCTTCGTTTGAAATAAACAAATCGTCAAAACTCTAAATTTATTTGCCCTCCCTATGAATCTATTAATAATAAAAATTATCTTCGTCGTAGATGGTTTCAGGACTGATGATAAATACATTTTGTAAATTTGTTGCTTTAGAATATGCTATTGAAAAATTTTTGTACTTTGCTGTCAACTTGTCCATTCTTCTCTTCACAATTGATCTAAAGTTTTCCGTGAGTTCCTGCGGCAATAATTTCTCAGATATGGTTGTTGTATATTGTATAGCAGTATGTATTGTTTTTGATAAGATTTTTTTCGGTTAGCAAATACAATCTTTTCCTTTTGTTGTCAAAGTTCTTTCAAATGTAGTGTGATAATAACATGCAGTTTGATCTTGATTAATTTTGATTCAAATTGCGGAGTGATAAATTTAATCATTTTACGAAACTTTTCCGTGACTTGTATTATTTCATCCAGGTTCTTTCTGACAAGTACTTTGTAATTTTCCTTGTCGAATGTTATGTTTTTTTTTTAAATATAAAAAAAATCTATTGTTGTGAAGCCTTAACACTAACCTAAACCTACCGAGACTTCAAGTATACTTTCTACCGTGAGCGGTCTCATGCCGTTTAAAAAAAAATATTTCTTAATACAAAATGAAGACTATAAATAATTAGATAGTGAAATATTTTCTTATATTTAAAAATAAATAATGTTTATTTTATTCACCACATTTTTTACAAACCATAGGATTCTTGAGTATACATTTCCCATTTATGTATTTTTCACATTTCAGACAGATTTTGTTAGGCTTATTGCTTTTGCAAAATCGTATGTGACAATTTCTCCGGTCACATGAATTTGCAGTTATATTTGTGATTGTTTTTGCTGGTTCTTCTTTTCCTAGCTGTTGCTTTTCTTGACATTCGGTGGCAAGCTCTTTTCCCAATTAAAATAAAAACTCTAGCTTCGAAATTTCTTCTGCTGTCGTTTCTTTATATAAAATCCAAGCATTTATCCGGGCTAAAATCTAAGATATTAAAAAATACCTGCAAAGGCCACCTCTGTGTTTTTGATTTTACGCTGTATTTTCTGGCCATTTGATCGATAACATCTACACCGAATTTTATACTCGTCGTAGAATTTTATTGTTTCTGGTATACGGGCATCATTGAACGAATGAATGCATTGAAAATAAGTATCAGTATCTTTATATTTAGCTTTGTAAATTGTCAGAGTACAATTATTTGATCCGTATAATGTTGAGAAACGATTCATATAGATTTTTTATCTGTCTCGCCAATTTTGGTAGTTCCCTTCTATTTTCCCGAACAGTTTCAATAAGCATAGTTTTTTTTTGCCAAAAGTTTTGTTGCTAATGATACGCTTGTAAAACAATTGTCTGCGGTTATATTATATTTCTTCCCGTATAGGGTTCTCCTAATTTCAGGGTAACGAAATCCCCAAGTGGAACGAAATGGTTTTCTTTTTTCATCTTTTCCCAAATATGGCCGTTTACTGTATATTTGGTATATATTTTATTGACATCGAAAGCTAAGAATTTTATATCAAATTCCCGTTTATCGGGCATGTACTGTGTAAATCTACATTTTCCTTTCGTTGGAAACATTTGTTTATTAAACATTTATAAACATTTATCTGTAGATAGATAGATCCTGATTTATAATAGTTTTGACTGTTTTTTAATGAATGTACACCAAACTTCGGAAATCAAGACATATTTGTCGGTTTGTAAGCACTGGGCTTCGTTGATTTCTGTTATCAAAACAAACGAATCTTATAACTTCTGTAGTTATTTCTGCTCATAGCATTGGAGAAAAATACTGGACTCCATTTTTTTTTTTTATAACGTTGCATATTTATAATGCAGCGAGAAGAGTGCTACGCATACTCAAATAAACAATTTTCTTTAGATAGCAAGTAAGATAACAGAAGACAAAGACCGATTCATGCAAAGAATATAAATAGGGTCAAATGACCCCTTGCAGTAGGCGAAGACAGACTAAATTTTTTTCAAAAAATAAACAAAAAGAAAAGCGAATATTAAAAAATGCATTATATGATATAAGAAAAGTCGTAAAGTTAAATGGCGATGCAATAACATCGTATGCAGGATATTCTAAAAGAAATTTTAAAAAGGGTTATTTAACCTCACTTGGTAGGTTTAGTGTTAAAATAAAAATTATTGAAAATTGAATAAAAAG